ACAATTTAAAAGTTAATCAGGCTGTTCATGTTTATGTTCCAGTACAGATATATGTTATAAGCAGCTCTTGAGGTCAAAATAAGTCCTCTGTGTTCTGTCTGCATCGAATTATGAAGCATTTTATTGTCTGGTAAACTGTAAGTGCATGTTAGCAAGGAGAAATTCAATTTGTTTATTTGGTTAAATACGTTCCGCGGCTCATCCAAGCTGCTTATTTGACCAAATAAACTTTTGTCCAGTTGACAAATTGAATTTCTCCTTTGCCCTGGATTCTACCTGGACAACTGAGGATTTTTCACTCATAGTTGTTGTTAGCTTTACCATGACAGCAAAAGGTCTCTAAAAAATTGGGAAAAGCACTTCTAAACTCATCATGGTGAGTAATGAAGATGCTCTGAATGCAGAAGGTAAGTGAGGAGAAACTTTGTAGCACTGCAAACAGTTTCAGATGATCGAGTTTCATGTTTTAAGAGTGTAAAAGTCAGGTACAGCGTCTTTACAATCCCTTGGTGTATAATGCTAAGACAGTAATTCGCAGCCTTACATCAGAGTGCGTCCCGTTGACGGCAGGAGGCGTGTGGGTGGTGGACTGTCCCAAAGAGCTCCCGTGGCTGAAGGCTTCTCCCGAGCTGGACCCATGGGTGCTGGTGTCTCCCGGGACAGACTGATGGGTGCTGGATGGTCCCACAGCAGACACAGGTGGGTTTGACAGTCCAGAGGGAGACACGGGCTGGTTGGACTGGGTAGGGTGGGACCCCTGGGCACTCGTCTGTCCCGCCATGGTCCCATGGGTGCTGCTGTGCTCCAGGCAGAAGGACTTGAAGCGGACCTCATCATTTTCGGCCAAAATGGTTTTCATCTCCAGACCGTGATCGAAGGCGCAGGTCACATGGAAGGCAACAATACAGGAGGGCATGGAGCACTGGAGACGAGAGGGGACAGTCTTAAGTATTTATCCAAGTTTTTATAGTTTTATCAGTTGAGTGTCATTTTGTGGTAAAAAAGTTGAGAAGAAAAGTACAAAAATACAGGAAGTAGCAGATTTCTAAAGAGTCCTAAAACAGAAAAGGAAAACAAAAATAAAAAAATAAGGAAGACATTTTTCTGACAACAAAATAAAGCTATTTTCATTTATTTTTATTAGTCTTATCATTATTATTGTGTAATGTAGACATAATTGGGCCAGTGTACAACTAGGAAGTCAGATTTTAAATGTCACCAAGTCATTTTGTTCATGTGTGCACACTCTCGTGGTAATTTTGTTTTGCAAGATCTTGTCCCATCGTTTACCAAGCTAATGAGAAAACGTGCTTTCTATTGTGTCTATTGTGTAATCTTTGTAAATTGTAAAACAAATTTGAGCATCTGAAATATTTATTTACATGACAAAATTATTATTAGTATATTTGCCAGTTAAATCCAGACAGGTATCTCTCTCTGGTATTTTTTATTTATATAAAAGGAGATCAGAGAATGGCCCAATCAGGTTAGTTTCTTTCAGTGACACATTTTAAACAAAGGAGCTCATTGGTGACTTTTAATTGAGAAGAAAATGACATTACTGTCCTCTCAGTTTAATGCGTCACTCATTGATTCTGCAGAAATCCACCGTGTTTTTCAATCCCCTGAGATATTTTTTTAGAACTCAGCGCTACTTCCTGCATTTTTGTACTTTTCTTCACAGCTTTTTTCCCACAAACTGCCACTTCACTGATGTAAAAACTATGATAAATATTTACAATTACCATCCCACCAAACCAAGTCAGAAAAAACATGAAAAAAATACACACTTTAAGGAGCCACAGCATATTAGACTATTTTCTGAGCCTGACCTGGAGTTGTGTTTTGTTTCATTCACACATGTTTAACACACAAACTCTGCATATTTAATTCTTCTTTCAAACTAAACACTGTTTCACCTCTGATACCTTCAGTATAATGATTTGGATAATTTTAGTCCTGGAATTGCCAGTCTCTACTGAACTAAGTGTAAAAGGTCAGGACATCACAAGGTGGAGCAGCATTTTGAGCTTTGGAGACAGACTAATAATAAAGGTTTACTCAAACATGTGTGAATGAAACAAAACACAACTCTGGATACGACTAAAAACACACAAATAGTTCATTTTGTGTAATATATGACCTTTAAATATCAAAACACTGTTGAACATGAAGTTAGTTACAAAGAAACGTAATAGAAGGAAAACTGTGTGTACAGATTGTCATGGGTGTAAAAAGTGCGGATGTCACTGTAAAACCTGCAGTGTTCTTCTGATAAAAGCTCCTGGTCTTTATTTAGAGCCATGTAGGAGGACATAATGTACACGGCGCCATCACACTTATGTAACCAACTCTGCTACTGAGAGAGAACTGCTGATCCTGTACAGCTATGTAAAGGCCCTACGCTTTTGTAACACAGGAAATATATGAGCAACTTCTGTTTTGCAATCACAATTCAGCTCACAATGCAAATTCTACACTACATTGTTGGCAGCTTTTACACACAATAAGACCCTATGGAGACACAGGGAGGGCATCTGACACACAGGGAGGACATTTGACACACGGGGAGGGCATCTGACACACGGGGAGGGCATCTGACACACGGGGAGGGCATCTGACACATGGGGAGGACATCTGACACACGGGGAGGGCACCTGACACACAGGGACATTTCAGAACATGTTTGTAGAGATCCAAACTACAGGGTTAGCAGCTTTTACACAGAATAAGAACCTGTGGACACTAATCTATTCTTTTTTGGTTTTGGTCACAAAACTATCCACTTCTTCTGAGTGTATACTTCACTGCAATTGGTTAAATCCACCTGTCACTCACTCAGTCACTCTACATGATCCAACCTCTGTGAAGTTGGCCCCCCATCAAACGCAAACCTACACAAAAACTCATTTGTGCTTCATCTGTGCCGTTTTGTGCGGCAACAGGTTTTGTTTGTGCGATTATGGTTCTAAAGATATTAGCAGTTTTATTTTTGGGTGATGACGTTATCCAGCCCCTCAAATTGTTTAATAGCCTCAAAACAAGCAGAAAATTATACAAAACATTTGTGTTTCGTTTGTGTTTTGTTTGTGCTGTGGTTGCTTGTGTATTGAGTATATTTCTAAAATGATTAATTATTATTTTTACCTCCGCCAAGGAGGTTATGTTTTTGCCGTTTTTTGTCTGTTTGTCTGTTTGTTTGTTTGTTTGTTTGTCTGTTAGCAACATAACTCAAAAAGTTATGGACCGATTTTGATGAAATTTCATTTTGGGGGTGATCCGGAAGAAATCCTGGATTCTGGATCACTTTGAAATTTTAGTTAACATTGTGGTAAATGGGGCCAAAAAATTTGTTTCTCAATATCTCGGTTAATTATTGACCAAACCCCATGAAATTTGACTCAGGGATGAACAATGGGATCCTCTCTCATATTCCAAAGGCTGATCCGGATCTGATCCAGAAGACTGATTTTATCGCAATTTTATATAAAAATGGGGGTAGTCCTTGGCGGAGGTCTGCGCTCTCTGAGTGCTTTTTCTAATTCATATATATAATTATAATTTATTATGTCATTTCTGTTCAGCTGACGGCAGCGACTTTACTAGTTCACTAGTTTTGTGCAGTTTTGCAAAAGTCACTGCGGTCAGCTGAACGGAAGTGACGTCATATAATATCCGCAAAAATAATAATGACGTCCTCGGCCCAAAATAAAACTGCTGATATCTTAAGAACCAGAATCACACAAACAAAACTTTTTGCAGCACAAAACAGCACAAACGAAGCACAAACGACTGACACCATTTTGTGGCGTTTTGGAGCATTCTGAAGCTTCCTGGGGGCTGGCTTACCCCAATTTGACCTTTAAAAGAATCATTACTATCTCCAAAACTAAAACAGCACAAACAAACCTTTTTGCAGCACAAAACAGCACAAACGAAGCACAAATGATTGACATAGTTTTTGTATAGGGTTGTGTTTAATGGGGGGCCAAATTCACAGAGGTCATGATCCAGGGGTTTTTATTTCACTATTTTGTCCCTACATCAAGACATGAACATTCATAACAGACCAATTAGATGCCTTCTACAACCTTGCTCCTGATTGGCTAGTCGCTTGCACCTGGATTTCCAAATATGGTCCCTGTTTGTGGATTAGCCGCTATAACTCGTAACAGGAGCTGAACGCTACAGGTGAAGTCTGTGTACAGTCCATGTGTCCAAATCATGTTCAAAAGCCACAAAAACCTTTGAAAAGGACTTTGGAAATCATCTGACATCAATATTAACCATAGACTGTATATATAAATGGACATAGCTAATGTGCTCCAGTAGGAAATAAGCATGGACACAAAGTAGTTCCTTCGAGCTCTGGTTGCAACTGATTTATACTGAAAAATCTTTGCCCCTCTCTCTGTACCTGCTGCTGTGAGTCCTGTCATTTTGGTCTTAAAATGTTCATATTAACCTGCCCTACGTGATCCTGGTGTTTTTATTTAGCAAATTTGTCCCTTAGCAATAAAATAGTGTCACGATATTAACATTTCTAACTCAGTTTGATACTTCCCATACTCTGATGATAATTTAAAAAAATCTTTATTGAAACAACACACTGTGATTGTCAACATTAAATAATAGCACTTTTTAATACTGCCATGTGGCCTGTTTTCTGTAATCTCCTGTTGTTCAGGTAGGTTCCACATAACTACATATATACATTAGTACATACAGGCTACGTATAAGCACACAACAGAGTGGTGAATCTTATTTACACTGAGCGTTTGATTTTCAGATATGTTAGGAACCGTGTTACTCACAAGTTATTTGCTTTCCCAGCACAAATAAACACACTGAAGCTCCAGCAGTTTTCACTTTTACATAGCAAAACAAAAACAGAACATGTGAATGGTGGAGATGTTGTATATGTTGCAGATGGTGTAGATGTTGCAGATGGTGTAGATTTTGTAGATGGTGTATATGTTGCAGATGTTGTAGATGTTGTAGATGTTGTAGATGTTGCAGATGGTGTAGATGGTGTAGATGGTGTAGATGTTGTAGATGGTGTAGATGTTGCAGATGTTGCAGATGTTGTAGATGTTGTAGATGTTGTAGATGTTGTAGATGTGTAGATGGTGTAGATGGTGTAGATGGTGTAGATGATGTAGATGTTGCAGATGTTTGTTGCAGATGTTGCAGATGGTGTAGATGGTGTAGATGGTGTAGATGGTGTAGATGTAGATGGTGTAGATGGTGTAGATGTTGTAGATGGTGTAGATGGTGTAGATGTGTAGATGTTGCAGATGTTGCAGATGTTGCAGATGGTGTAGATGGTGTAGATGGTGTAGATGTTGTAGATGTTGTAGATGGTGTAGATGGTGTAGATGTTGTAGATGGTGTAGATGTTGTAGATGTTGCAGATGTTGTAGATGCTGTAGATGTTGTAGATGTTGCAGATGTTGCAGATGGTGTAGATGGTGTAGATGGTGTAGATGTTGTAGACATAGTCATTATTACTGATCGAAAAACAAGTGAGTAAATGTCCAAATACATGTGTAAATGTAAGATTTGCCTGGTTGTTTCTTACGTCATGCAGTTGAACACCTCTCCAAGTCTGTGCTTAATGTAAAGTGGACTGTACAGTTCCACGCAGCAGGGATCCAGATGTGTTATTTAGATCTTTGAGATTTGAAGTACATGTTGAAGATTGGGTTTGAGTTGGCTGAGGGCAGTTATCTGGTTCTGTGGCGTGTGTGTAAACGCAGAGAGAGAGAGAAAGCCTCACAGAGGGTATCCAAGTGCTCACAGCTTCATACAGAATCAATACGAGCAGAACATAACAAAGAGCTCCATGTAAACAGATGGAGGTCATGACAGGACAGCGGAGTGATAAGAATAGCTGTGGAGTGTGTTAGCGTTAGTGATGTTAGCACGTTTGTTTATGGAGAAATGAGCTGAGAGGCTCACAGGCTAACAGCAGGAGGCTAAACACTCTGCACTTGCTTCAAACAAAGTCTTCATGTGACATTACTTTACTAATGAGAACACTTAGTGTAGGTTCAAATAAAAGAAGCAAAGGAGTATCTGCCATTCTATAGCAGATAACTCATTTCAATAACTTTTCTGATATCTGATCGGCCTGAACATTTTTAGGAAAATACCTATTTGTGATTTGTCTGACAAGCATCAGTCAAATGCTTTGAGTCAAGCCCCAGAGTGCGTGTGTGTGTGTATGTAGGTGACAGGTTGTATATGTCTGTATATGTTTTATACACAGTATGACGAGTTGTATACAGGTGCCCGTGTGCTCTCGGCACAGGCTGTATATGTTTATATATGTATGTTTGTGTATATATATATATATATATATATATATATATATATATATATATATATATATATATATATATATATATATATATATATATATATATATATATATTAGGATGAGTTACCTGTATACAGGTGCCCGTGTGCTCTCGGCACAGGCTGCAGCTCAGGGCCCAGCGGCTGGACGGGATGTGGGACACTTTAGTGATGGGCTCCATCTTCTCTGGACACCCGATACTCACCTGCACAAAACACACAGATCAACAGAGGAATACTTCAGTAAAGATACTTCAACATATACAGGAAGTAAATTTTGGTTTCATACAAATGATCTGAACAAAGACCTGATGTGTGACATTACTGAAGCCCCACTACAATAAATGAGTTCATTACATTTTAATGTAAATTTAAAACCACCTAACAACCTACATCAAACAGAGTGAAATAAGAAAGAACACAACCAGAATACATGATTCAAATCATTCAAATGTCAAAAGAAGTTATTTGCTGATTGAGAATAATTGACATAATACTGTGTAGATCTGATTACTTTAACTGCAGCCTTAAAAAGCACTAATAGCACTTTAACTTTAACCTCGACCACTCGCCTGGTCTTTGTCTTTACGACTGTTTTCACTTTTGTCTGTTTCATTTCACTGTAAACAAAATATTTGCGGCTTGTGAACTGTTGTTTGGACCATACGTGCTTCGGTATTTTTTAACGGCTCACATCTGGAGGTCATTGTTTCCTGATTGTTTTATTCGGCACTAAAAGTCTGGATTAACTTTGCTCTTCGCATGTTCAAAAATGTCAAATTTTCCATTCAACGTTCCCGATGATACAGATACCCAATGATATAATGGCTTTATTGTTGTTGTTTTTTTTCCACTTGCGAAAGCCAAGACCCCTGCTTGTAAAAATCTCATCTTCAAAGTGGAAACATGTGCACCCATTGGTAATAACATACGACTGTGCTCAGACTATTGACAGTTTTGGCAG